ATCTATTAAAGTCACCGACCAGGAAAATTCCTGCATTTGGGTACTTCATAAGGGCTAAATCGAGGCTTAAGATAATGTGTTCGACTAGGGCATGATTATCGTTGGATGGTGGATGATAAATAACACATACTATCAGGCATGAAAAGCCTCGAGGAAGTTTATACGGTCTCAAATATAACCACAGGGTTTCAAAACATTCGTCTTGTAGTTCGGGTAATAATTTAAATGGAATAGATGATTTAATAAAGGCGCACACGCCTCCTCCTATCTTGTTAACTCTATCATGCCTGACAAGGGAGTAACCATCAATTTCGACAGCGCTGTCGTGGATGTTTTCACTCAGCCACGTTTCTGTAATAAAGGCCATGTTTATACAACTTGCTTTCAGAATAGTTTCTAACTCATCAATCTTAGGAAGAAGTGATCTTACATTAGATAGAATAAGCAAGGGTTCACCACTTTGGGGAACACTGTTAAGGGGCTCCTGATGAGACTTGGAACTATGCAGGTACATTGTATCCTGAGTGCTTATACTTTCGGATTTATCTGGGAACATTGATGTTTCAATATAAATTAGGTTATTAAAATTTGTTGCATTAGTTGTTTGTCCATTTACTAATGTTTGTTGATGATTATATAGGTTTAGGGATAAGAAATCATCTAGTAATAAAACCTGAACCATTTCGTTTTGTCTTTCCGTCTGATTTCTGAACGAAAAACCTGCTCACATGAAGATTTTGTTTTTTTCCGCCTCAGACTAGTTTTTCGTCGATCATTCGTCGGTTCCTCTCTTCTAGTGATTCGAGTTGGAATGGGTTGGTTGTTAGCTATTCTACCCTGTACCAAATTACTCTGCTGCGTATGTAGTTTAGGTGATGGACACCTGTGGCCTTTGACCTTTGTCCTATATAAGCCGCTTTTTGAACGATGGAAATAACTTGGGTTTTTTTAATAATGAACAATTTTCTAGGGCTTTGTTATGCTTATTATCTGGACCAACAGATAATTCTTCAGTTTCTATTAATAATCTTTCATTGTCATCAACAATGAAAACTTCGCATACAATAACGCTATTATTACCAAGACCCTCACCACTGAAAGAAGCATCTTCAAAACTTTCTGCCTCTTTTAATTCAGTCATATTATCCAGACATTGTAAAGAACTAGAGGCTCTCGTATTATTTTCAAGGTCAACATGAGGCTCGAGTGTTTGATGTATGCATGTTTGATTTAACGGCTCAGTGATTTTTGCTTCAAAACTACTTAATTGGCGTTTCATTTCTTCGTTTTCGGTTTGAAATCTCGCCAATAAACCTTCAACCTTGCTAATACGGGAGGTGTTATCAAGAATAATCCTTTCATTGACCACTAGGTCAAGTTTTATACCCTCAAAATCCGTGGACAGTTCTTTACATTTACAATGGCATATTTGGCCGCCAATATTTGTCATATTTGGGTTAATTGCAGCATTTGCGGCTTCCACAACATTGCAGTTTTTTTTCATGCATTCCGTTTCAACAGTAGATTCCACACGCAAACAAGAACAGTTATTGTTAATCGGATTCTCAACATCAACTGCGGCAGTGCAATGATCGTCGAATATATAAGTGTCGGTAAACAATGTTGTTAATCTACATACAATATCACTTGCCTTCTCGCCGGAGATTGCCAAATATTTTTTGTTTTTCCACCAATTTATCACAATATTTCCCCCCTCGAACTGCTTCTTTTCGCCCCCAATAGATGACCATTTTCCAACTAAACACAACTTGTCTTCAACGAACTCCTGTAGTGATGAATAATCGCCAGACCACGACATCCTAAGATTTGATTTCGACATCGTACTTGGTGCTTTGTCGTGCTCGTCTGCTCGATGTGTTCCACCAGACTGACCAGACTATAAACTATATTTGAGGTCGATAGCAATGAGGATAGCAATACCAAAGTCAAAACAACTTTACAAAGTGTCCAAGAAATATGTTTCGCGATGATCGAATGTTTAAAAGCGATAAAATATCGTTTATAGCAGTTCTCTTAGAGAGCTCAACAAAGCACGTAAATACTACCCCACAGCCAGTAAACATGGTATATGCAGTAAACACACTATACGCACTATACACACTATACAAGCAATACTACCCCACAGCCAATAAACATGGTATATGCAGTAAACACACTATACACACTATACACACTATACAAGCAATACTACCCCACAGCCAATAAACGTGGTATATGCAGTAAACACACTATGCAAACTATACACACTATACAAGCAATACTACACCACAGCCAGTAAACCTGGTATATGCAGTAAACACACTATGCAAACTATACACACTGTACAAGCAATACTACCCCACAGCCAGTAAACATGGTATATGCATGAGTAAACACACTATGCAAACTATACACACTGTACAAGCAATACTACCCCACAGCCAGTAAACAGGTATATGCAGTAAACACACTATATGCACTATACACACTATACAAGCAATACTACCCCACAGCCAATAAACATGGTATATGCAGTAAACACACTATACACACTGTACAAGCAATACTACACCACAGCCAGTAAACATGGTATATGCAGTAAACACACTATGCAAACTATACACACTATACAAGCAATACTACCCCACAGCCAGTAAACATGGTATATGCAGTAAACACACTATACGCACTATACACACTATACAAGCAATACTACCCCACAGCCAATAAACATGGTATATGCAGTAAACACACTATACACACTATACACACTGTACAAGCAATACTACCCCACAGCCAGTAAACGTGGTATATGCAGTAAACACACTATGCAAACTATACACACTATACAAGCAATACTACACCACAGCCAGTAAACGTGGTATATGCAGTAAACACACTATACACACTGTACAAGCAATACTACCCCACAGGCAGTAAACATGGTATATGCAGTAAACACACTATACACACTATACAAGCAATACTACCCCACAGCCAGTAAAGTGGTATATGCAGTAAACACGTGACACTATACACGCTATGCACACTGTACAAGCAATAATAATGAGGTAGAACGGAAATAATTAGTTAATTTGTCAGTTGTCGTCCGCTTTTCTTCAACCTCGTACCCAGGGCTAGCCGCCAATTTTTTATTAAAAAATCGGGCGGGGAGGCACTGGGTACGAGGTTGCTTCAATGTGACGAGATTTAGCATAACTATGCTAGTTTTATTAGCATAATTTCACAATTTTTTGAAGAGATTTGGAATAATGAAATTTAGCCTAATTTTAGCATAAAATAACTGCTTGAGCATAATGTTAGTATAATGCTGAAAAACTTCTTTTTGCAAATTTCAAATATGCTTTAATTTTTCGTAAAGGGGAGGGGTGGAAATTTGAGGAATAGTAGACAAGTAGTCTAAAATGTATATTGATAAAGTCGAAATGAGGACCCCCCGACCATGCATATGGCAGCGCTCAGTCTGATCACAGAATAGGAAGTTATACCAGAAGCGTAACTCGAGCAAATATTTGTCCGCGTTTTTACAAGCGATTCGTCATCAATCACGCCATCCTGGCTAGTACAACCGGCACTTTGTACCTACCAAATCCTGATAAAAACTTCCGGCTGTACTAGCCAGGATGGCGTGGCCTGACGTGAGCGAGTTAAAATTTTCGTGGACGTCAAACAATAAGGGAAACGACTAGAGTTACGCTTCTGGTATAACTTCCTATTCTGTGGTCTGATTCTGATTCCCTGGACACGTCACGTGATACATGGTCATGGCGTCTTTCGTTGGTTTAAACTTTCTTTTTCATAAACTCGTATGTCATTCGTTCTGCTATTATAGCCGATGGCATTTACAGGGCCGTAGCAACCGGGGGGGGGGCTGCAGCCCCCCCCCCCAATAATTTGCTAATAATCATTCTTTTTTCAAAATCATGCAAACTTTATCATTTAATCTGTGACAAACTGCAAAGAATGAAGATATTACTCATACTCCAGATCGTTCCTCGCGTAGAAATTTTAGCTGAATTTCTGTCGCGCATTTTCAAGAAAATCCCACAAAATCTGCACATTTTTGATGAACTAATGATTTATTTTGTCTTTTGCGTGTTGGGTCTTGCGAAAGAAAACTCTGAAAATGCCATTTCAGACCATCTAGAGACTCCAGATTTTCGAAATTTTCTCAAATGTTCTGCCTTCATTTCCGCGCAACTGCCATTTACGACGAAAATTCCCGCCGCGCATTTATAATACTACAGTCTGGCCCATACTTTCCTGTAAATTTCGACATACTAAAACGCTGTTTTCTGACTATCAGAATTCTGTTAAATCTTCCCCCAAAGTCCAGGAAATGGCATTTTAGAGACTCTAAATTTAAAAATTTCCTCGGGTCTTCGGCCCTCGCTTTCAGCCCCCCCAATCGAAAAGAGCTTCCTACGGCCCTGCATTTAACAGTTTTACAAATTAATATTTCATCCATATTTTAATGAAATCTACATTTAGCATAATTTATCATGATTTAGCATAATTTTCTCAGCTATTTAGCATAATCGAATTTTATAATCTGGTCACACTGCCGTTGCTTTTCCTTTAGCCTAGCAGTTCTGCGATGGTCGGAGACAGAGTTTCTATAGATTTCAACGACAACACCAACTTCAATGGCAATAAGGTTTGAGGATTTGTGATTTAAATAAGTCAAATATATAAAAAAAGCAAAATAGATGAGAGCAATTTGTTTGGTTTGGAGAACTTTTTGAAACTGTATATGCCCGGAATATCTATGTATATTCCCGAAATAATATATATATATATCTTTGATGTATATAGGAATGTATATGAGATATGCAAAGTAATAAACTTTTAAATACATGTTGATGTACCTTCTTTATAGCATGCAAGATAATCTCCACAAACAAAACTTCATAAGAGAAATAGCTATAATTTAATAAATTCAAGATATAAACATGCCTGAGTAAAACCGACAGGCGACAGAGATTATAAATAACACTAGAGCTGTTAATGATGAAATATAAAACAACGGGAACTCCGAAAATAAACATTTTCATATTCTAGCTTTTGATTAAGATTTTGTCATCATCAGGATTTTCATGATAATTACTGAATTTTTGTTGAAAGCTAGAATATGGAAATGTTTATTTTAGAAGTTACTATTGTTTTATTTTGTATTAAAATAGTTAGTGCTTCACGTAATTATTAATGATGATGTCAGCAATTTTGATCTTTTCAGGAGAAATTTTAATTTCGTAATTATTAAACGATTATAAAAATCGTTTGAATTCAAAATTTCGATGGGATCTTATCAATGTTCTACCTTTGAATTTTTATTATTTTTAAGATTTGTGATTGATTCACTGTCTATCAATGCCAAACATCAATTTTACTGGTCAGTAGGTGACTGCTGCCAGTAAACGGGTTAATTTGTCGTCACGCCTACCCTACCCTTCGACAGTAAATGATAAATTGGAAACGTTGTGAAGGCTCTGGTTGACTGGTTCAACGGAAAGATTCTTTGATAAGTCACAATCACTAATTCCATTTTGTGATTAGCACGGTTAATCGAAGGCTCTGGAATCTAGGGTACGAATTTGAAATGTCCTTAATTCGAATTAAAATAATTATTTTCAGACTTAAAGTTTGTTCGTTCACAGCAACCAGGTATATCAATCATGTTTCGAACGCTACTCTGGTTTAAATAAATTATTACAAAGCCCATGCAGTCGAATTGTAATCAAGACCCAACGTTTCGACACTCCAGTCTAGTCTCTTCATCAGGGGTGAAAAACTTCAAAGCTTCCGACGTAAGTGGCCCTTCTGTGTGCCTTATTCTGTGCTAAAACTGCGATCGTGGCTTCTTAAATGCCCAAGGGATGACGTCACCTGCCAAGAAGATGCATATATTCCTCTGGCAAATAGGCACCGTCATCCCTATTCAAAGCATGACTCATATTTATATGCCACGCTTCTAGGCAAAGTCTTTGACCATAGCGATTGTTTGTGTGTTTCCCACGCAATCTCATGTTTGGTGTAACATACATGTTAGGCTAAAGCTGATTTTCCCTTGTCTAAAGTTGAAACAGCCTTTTGATGTTCTTTTAGCCGTGTACCAAACTGGTGTTTAGACTTGTCACATGGAAAATGTTTGAATGTGTAGTGTAGTCTTTGGGACAGATTTTACTGAATTCTTATGGTCAGGAAACGACATTGTAGCATATCACACGCCTCCCTGGCCAATGTTTTTGCTCTACAGCCCGAGCCTGGGGGGGGGGGCATTTGACCCATCGGGGTTGTGGGCCCCCGGCCTAAATACATATAGTAGTTACGCCACTGGTTTGTATACTGCATTATAGACAAAAATTGGTTGACAGGGGAAAAATATCAATTTCTGTGTCCTCACTCGTACCAATTTTTGCCATCGAACTTTACTCTTGACACACTACTTTGCTAAGAAAACGACGCAAAAATAACGCCTTATTATCTGCGTCTACCACGTGGGTATTGTTTCCACATTTACCCAATGGATCCTCCTTACCGATAATACATACTCGCTGGTTTGGATGCTTATTGGCATGATCACTAGCGGTGGTACTTGGATTATCAAAAATCCCATTCTCGTCCACAGATCCATATTTTCACTCGGTCACTTCTTGAAAATTAGGCTCTGCGTTCGATGAGTAAAGGGAGAGATGTGATTGGCTTCTCATCCAACTGTTATTTCGCAAAACTTAATTGAGCAATGTTCGCTAGTCAAAGTTTTTCTATCAAAAATATGTCAATACGAATACGTTTCTTCGTGAATCGCAATATTCGTCT